AAAAAAAAACTCATCACTGATTTTTAGCTTGTTTTGTTCCTTTCACTGTCTTTTCTTTTAAGTCAGTACCTGTATATAATTAAATAAAACTGCTTAAGTTTATTTACTTTCAGATCTTGAGAGTCTTTATTTCATTTTTAAGCGCTTGATTTAGCAAAGAGGGAAGCAAGTTTTATAATCATTTAGAAGAAATTAGATATTTTTTTGAATGCTTGTAAACATGATCATTTCCGCACTAATTTTGAGTAGTAATTACCAGGTTGAAGTTTGAGTTTATGGAGCTGAAAATTTTTTATTCAAAGTCTAAATGATTCTGCGTTTCTCGACAATTTTTTCGCCACCAAAAGTTAGGAAAGTGAACTGCAACGTCCTCCTTCTTCCTTCTGCTGTTAACGAGTTCTCCTACCAATTTTTTCCTATTTTTAATTTCGTGTTCTAGGGGCATTAAGGTTTCTTCAACTAAATAGTTGGATAAGAATCTAAACCAAGGGTAGACACAGTGAAATGCTGATATCTGTATTGTGACTTCTTTTAAATTAATTTTTGACGACTGTAACTTGCACACGGGTTGTAACAGTAATATCGTCATAAAGCTGTGCGGAATTTTTTTAGTGTCTAAATGTAAGAGCAATACTGTCAAATGAGAATATTTTTAGCCAGAACATTATTAAATTGTGCATACATATCATTTTTCAAATGGACTTGGCTGAAAATTTTGTAGAAATATGAAATACTACTGTAAATAGATTACAATAATTTTTCAGGCTTACTTAAAGCACTGAATTCAGCATGTGGCAGCAGTTGCTAACAGATAAGAGAAGCAGAACTCTTTGAAGTGAGTGGACGGCGACAAACTGATTGAAGAAAAATTTACAAAATTTGAAAAAATTTGGTGTTTAGAAAATTAGGTAATAAAATTTGATTCGTCTGCATTGATACATATTTCACTAATCTACAACAAACAGTGTCAGTCTCTCTTTGTTTACTTATCGTCTCTAACTGCTGTTATCCTCCAAACTTCGGTCTTGCCTTATGCACTCAAGTGTTTTTCTCTAAGTATACATTTAAAATCTTTAGTTTATTGACTAACTAATCTTTTTTTTTTCAATGTCAAACAGCATCAGAGACTGCTGGATTATTTTTAAAATTTATTAAGTTTTTCTCACAACGGTTAGCTGTCTTAAGTAGTGCAGTGCTGTATTACAAATCACTTGCTCAATTTCTTTATACCATAATTTAACTTTGTTATCTGCTTATTGTATCCTAGGTGTTTTTTAAGGGAAATAAAATTCTTTTATGTTGACTGCTTAATTTCAGATCTGAGTTTTTTTTGCAAATTATCAAATTTTTTTATTTGAATGAAATTATTTGAAGCTCAGAATTATGACGATTGGGGATGGTTACAGCATTATAAAACCGTAGTATTTTGCTCCTGGTATTCTAAAAGAGTTCAACTTTTTTTGTTTCAATATATAAGTTTTAAAAGTTTCAAATTTGTAACTGTTAAATGTTTATTTTGACTAAACTAAATCAAGTATGACTAGCTACATTACTCAACATTTGTTCTTAAAATTTTAATTTACACAAATAAAATAAAAATTTATTTACTACATTGCCTTTGCTGTGTTCTGGTAGAGCAATCGAAGCAATACACTTATTGGTTTCACTGTTCAGAGGCAACTTAAAGTATTTTTCGGAATGACTGCAGTATCTGTTTTACAGAAATCTTTTTACTTTTTATATGGTTGAATAAAGTTTGCAGTGACACAGCTGTTGGTAACAATGCAATTTTTAGAACGAATATTCAGATTATATAAACTTTTTTTTTTTTGAAAACTTTAACACTTTTCAAAGTTAACCTTAGAAAGCTAAGACTAGCGATAATCTATAAGAACCAGGTTATCTGTATGTGTCTTTGAGGCTAATCAAGATCAATATTAAAGATTTATGTGAGGCACAAGCACAGTTTATATTTTAAACAGCAACACTCAGATGTTATTGATTCACGTATTAATAACTTTTTTGACAAAAGAGGGGTTTTACTGTTTAGTCAGTTTCTTTTGATATGACGTATGGCAACAATCTGAATTTAATTTTGATACATTAAACGACTGGTCAAACGTTTTGATCAAAATTTTATCAGGACTTAGAGCTAGACGCACAACCAATTTTCAATCAGAAATTAAATATTTGTGTTCGTTGCCAGAGTTATGCTAAATCAAAAAATAAAGAAACAAAAAAACTTTAAGTGTTTTTAAACTGCCTATTCTTATCAATAGCTTGATAGTCTCCTTACTTTGGGTGCGGAACAAATCGTCATGGTTTGAGTGATAGCGAGTGATATTTAAAATGAACAAATTTGCCTAGCTACCAATATGAAAGTAAAAAAACTTTTATATATTTGTTAGTTCATTTAGACTTTGTAAAAACGACAGCGTGCAAGACAAAAAGGAAAAACTGCTGTAGAGAAAAGGCAAAAAAACTTTAATTATATTTGTTTAGATTATGTTTTGTTGCGATGTTGAAGTATTGCTGGAAGGTACCCATAGATGATGCTGGTGACACAGATATGTTTGATATTTGCTGTTCGATAACTGTTGCCAATGCTTAGCTGGAGTTAATAAGAAAGAACAACAAAACTTGTTTTCCTATCGTCTTTAGCAGTATTAGACATTTAGTCGCTTAATTTTCCTTTCACGTCTTTTTGTTTTTATGCTCTGTTTTTAAGGTGCAATTCTTCATCACAGCAAACGGTGTTGATTAGTTGTCTGCATCGATAAACATTTTTAATAAAAAATTGCTGTTCGAAACTTCGTTTACACTTTGGAAATGGTAGCTTTTTTATCTGTTTTACAAAAATAAGTGCAGTTACTGGTAGGTATACAGCTAAAAAAAAAAAGAATGTAAAAATTTAGCGAAAAGAAAGTTTCATTCTGGAGGACGATGGTTTTTTATAATATAAAATTTGTTAACAAACTAACAGTAACGAACAGTCATAATTCTTGGTATAAATTTCTAGTATGACTTGTCTATATTGCTGTTGTTGGTTATATATACATTCGGTTTTTTGTCGGCAAGTATTGAAGAAAATCGCTTGTTACGGGATTTACGCGAAAATTACGATAGTGTCGAAAGACCAGTGGAAAATCATAAAGAAGCTGTGCAAGTGAAAGTCCAAGTGTTGCTTCAACAAATTTTAGAAGTGGTATTACTATTATTTAAAATTACTAATTACATAAAAATGTATTCAGTATAGATATTTTACTGTAAGCATAAAAGAGCTAAAAAAAGTTCGAAAAAATCTTGTAAAGCAAAGGAAATTTTTGCTGAACAATTGATGTGGTAGTATTGCTAAAGAATAAAATGTAACTAATGAAACCACTACTGCAATTTAGGATGCTAAAAATCAGCTTATCAAGTTGGTACTTTGGGTACAACAAGTAAGTTTTTTTATCAAAAATTTCTAAACTTTCTACTGTGTTATACTTTTCAAAGTGCTTTTAAAATACTGTTTATTTACTTTAATTTGACTTTCAAAAGCTAAGCAACTTTTAAAAATAAATATTACAGTAACGTATCAGAACCATTATAATGTTCTTTTGTAATTTGTCATTTATCAAATTATCAAAACAGATATTAACTTTTCATTCGTCAGGTTGTTGAAATGGGCTCGTCTACAGACGTTTAAGTTAAGACATTCAGTGTTTCATAGAATGACTTTATTGAACTTTGACTAAAGAAATCGCGTTTGTATTTCCTAATTTTTTATTCTTTTCTTATTGCTAAGGTCAAAAATAATTTTGCAGTACTGCCTAGAACTGGTTTTTTGAACAAAATTTATAGTGTCTTAAATATTTGGTAAAACAATATGAAAAATTGTAACGATGATATGAACTGTTTGGCCGAAGACTAAATAACTTAATAAAACAAATATTTGTTATATAAGTAGACGTAGCGCAAGATTTGAAAAAAGGCGTCTTTTAATAAATTTTTTGCTTTGCTTTTGAATTTTTTATTTTTTAAGATCTTGTTATTAATTTAATTACTTTGTTGTTTTCTACCTCTCCAACCTTTTTTCAAGGAATGGAAAGATTATAAAATGAAATGGGATCCTGCAGAATATGGTGGCATTTTGGACTTACACTTACCTTCATCAGGTGATGGCGCTTTGTGGAAACCAGATATTCTACTTTTCAATAGGTTTGTTCTTTTTCAGCTTTAAAAAAAATTATTAAATTTTGATATTGCTTCTGGCAAAACCTGAAAATACTGTTGAAATGTTTACCTTATCGGTTCAGCTCATAAATTGTCCTTGTTTCTGTGGAAAACTTTTTTCTAGCGCAGAAGACACTTTTGACAACAGCTTTCCAGTGAACTTCGTTGTTTATTACACTGGCGACATACTGTTTGTTCCGCCTGGTATTGTAAAAAGCTCCTGCAATATCGACATTACTTGGTTTCCTTTTGATGAGCAAATATGTTGTCTTCGAGTCAGTACCCCAAAAAAGTTCTTGTTTTTACGTGACAAAAGTAGTACACAACGCGTCTTTCAAATAGGTAGCAGACGAATGTTGTTTGTAACAGATCTTCCCTTGATTAAATTAAAAAAAGTATTTGAAAATTTGATATTTATTATAAAAATTTTACTTTGCAAAAAATAATGAAACAGTAAGACCGTTGTGAGACTACTGCAGTTTTAAATCTTTTGCTTTTCGATACTTCTTCTCTTCTATACTATCTAATCATAATCGTAAATAAATGTTCAGCAGATATTTTTTCGTCAAAAGTTAAAACCGTTGTTGAAACAAATCTAGATTACAACAGTCTAGTAGTAACTGCCAAGATGCAAAAAACTTATCAAAGTATTTATTACAGTATGGCTCATGGTCGTATGCAACGAGTCAATTAGATCTTCACGTGAACAGCGCTAATCTGTCGGATAAAGATCATATGGATTTGACTTACTACTTGGAGAACAGTGAATGGGAACTTCTAGGTAAGATTAATAGACAGCAAAGTTTTTTACTTTTAAACTACATAAATAAGTTGATAGCGCTAAGAATATTATCCAATTTTTTGAGGGACTCCGGCAGATCGTCTGTTGAAGCCATTTTTGAACGACTCTTTTACCGAACTACACTTCCGTTTACACATCAGGCGGAAAAAAGTGTACTACTTTATGAACTGGATTATTCCAAGCATAATTATTTCTCTGAACAACCTTCTTGGATTTATGCTGCCATCGGAGTGTGGTGAAAAAATAACTTTACGTAAAGTTTCCTGATAACGAATTATTATTAACAACGGTTTAGTCAGTATTAACAGTTCGGCTGCATTATTCGCAATTGGTCACCGCAGTTGAGTCATTCCAAACCAATTCGCATACGAATTTCACTCGTTAGCGCAGAACTTTTTTGAATTTTGCTTATTAGTAGAGTCTGGGCGCTGATTTTAAACCGGAAATGCGACGTGGGTAAGTAGAACTTCTAATAAGTCATGTCTCCTCAAATTTGTAAAATTTGCTGCATGACATGTTTATCTTTCCAAAATTGTCGCCCAGCTCAACCTTAATAAAGCCGCCAATTATGGCCTATTAATTTCCAAACCTGTCTATTTATCAAGGTATCAGCGCATGTTTCATGTTACAGTTTCTTTTAGTAGTTAGGTAAATACAAAATAAACTTTAAAAAACATAGAAAAAAATTGTGGTTTAAACTTTTTAAAAAGAACATGTCATGTACAGGAATTTTTGTTCTCTAAAGTATAACAACTTGGTACTGGCAAATTTGGGAGTTACAGATAGGAAAAAAACGTTAAGACTGAAAGCATTCTACTAATTTCATCTATTTTTTAGTGATAAAAACAGCTTTTATCTGCTTCTGAAAATCGTAATATTTGGTTTTCAAAGTCTGTGTGTGTTTTAATCTTAGAGAATTTGCTTAAAAGTTCCCCTTTGCGCAAAAATATATGCATACTTTTATTCTGCAGAGTTGTAGTAGCAGAGTTGTAGTTTTATTCAAGCGTTCTTTGTTTCTTACACGTTGCTGTCAAATAAGAAGGTCAACAAGCAGTCAGCTCACAAAAAAAAAAAAAAGCATCAATAATTTTTGATGTGGCGCAAATTTTACAGAACAGTGGATTTTTTGCATGAATGATGCATTAAATACGGCAATTTCTGTTCTGGCAATTGAGTTAGCAAAAAGAGTTTTCTAGATTTTCAAGACGGTATCCATAGCTTATTTCGCAGAGTTCTCGTTGTACAAGTTTGAATGAGTGCGACTTAGTGTTTTTTTTTCTAACGGCTCTTGGCGACGTTTTAAAACATGTAAAGAAAGTTCCGCCACCGCCAAGTTTGTGAAAGTACTGACAAAGCAGTGGATTACTTTCAGTCTTCTATTTCTTGTAATCCCGTAGCCCTCAAATCTGCCAAAGTAAAGCCACTGAACTGCAATATTACAAGGCAAAAAATTTAAAGCAAAATGTTTTTTCTGGATGAAATTACGATTTGTAACGTTGTGTCAAAATTTCAACCTTTAGAAAGTTCAATAAACTAAATACTGTGAGCTCCATTTGAGTTAAACTAAGCTACAATTCTGGAAGGGTAGAATGTCAAGTTGCAACCTGGCAAACCTTGCAACTTTAGGCAGTAAACTTTACAATTTTAGCTAGAAAATCATTCTTCCGAATCAGCTTTACGTTGATCGCATTCAGAGCCCAGACCTTACAAGTCAGCAAAACCTAAAAAGAAGTTTGAAATATCACGTGAAAAATTAATGCTACCCGACAAAGAACCGCCTAGTTATATGCTAACGTCCTTGCTCTTCTAGAGAAAAAATCCTTTGTGTTTGATGAGAAATGACTAGTCAAAACTGTGAAGATGAGTCATTTTCTCTGCAATTTACAATGCTCAGGGAGGTTCAGGAAGATACGGAAAAAAGACGAGGCGTTCAAAATAAGAAGAAGAGATTTATTTTTTTTTTATTTTTTTAAACCAATGTTGTTTAAATGACTAGTTAAACTCTCACTTGAAAACGGTGCTG